CCAAATATTATAGTCACCATTTATTGACTATGTGAGATTGTATATTTTGTTTATGAAATCAGTGTTGAAATCTTATTTTGAAGCTGGTCTTCATTCACATCCTATTTTTATGAAGAATTCCACCCCATTATTCTTTCCATGTTAGAAAGAAATGCATATCTGAAAAGACACAGTCTGAGTTAGGCCATGTTCCATAGACACACAATCACCTTGAGACAAGAGAAAGAAGAGGAAGGGTTGGCTGGTTTGAAGTTCAGGGAGACATGTGAACTCCCAAACCCATGGACTTTGACCTAGCCACTGGGAGCTAGAGTTAAGAGTGAAGTGGCCAGCTAGTCTGAAGTTGGAAGGAGGCATACAAGAACTCCCAAACTTTCAGATAGTACCCATTTAACCTAGCTTGGATGGTTTTCTGACCAGAACTCGATCAGATAAAGATAAAGAAGTTTGATACAGGGAGGAAGTGTAAATTGCTACAATTTGATGAACTGGGCTTGTGCTATGAATGAGGTTGCCCAAAATTCCAACTGAAAGGGAAGGTTTCTTCATATCAAGGATCAAGCTTGTCAGTATGCTGGGTTGATAAGGAAGGGCAGTTTAGACTTCAACTGTCAGAATTGGGGTTATAAAGGCACAAAGTGAGGGACTTACAAGCTTTCAGGAGGGTGCTTAGGATCAGAATTAGGTGGGTAAGATGGAATCCCCACTGAATAGTTTTCCTCTTGCCCAGATGGATCCGGTGATGATGGGGATGGGATTTTATAATTCAATTGTGAATAACTGTCATTAGGACTAATAACGATTATCACAACTGCAAATGTAGACGAGGAATAACTAAAAGAGGGAGCAGTTAGTCTGTCATTTCAGGAATATAGGACTCTAGAGGAGAGAGAGATCCTAACCAGAATAGTGGCAACAACAGAGTTGGTGGCAGAGGTGATGGCATAGAGAAATAGAGCCACAGATAAATCCATACACTGAAAAAGGCAGTGTGTCTGTGGATAGGGCGCTAGCTTGCAAAATGTGTCCTTTGGACATTTAAACAAATATATTTTTTCAATGTTCAATAGACTCCTGTGAACCCGGGTGGAGACCTGGTTGGCCAGCAGTGTGGCAAGACCTGGGGACTCTTGGGCCCAGAGTCAGTGACATAGCCACAGAGGACTAGAGTGGAGAGTGAAGCA